ACCATTTGAAGGTTTTTGTTGATGAGGCAGTCGACAGGAACATCAAGTACTACAAGGAGAACAAGATGATCATGACATCTATGCTGGGTGGAGAGTCGGATGCTGATAAGTTGTCAGTTGCTGCTGCTGTTGTTGCTGTGTTGTTGTTGTTGTTGCTGTGTTTGTTTTTTGTTGCTGTGTTTGTTTTTGTTGTCGATGTTGTTTTTGTTGTTTTCGATGTCATAGTTATATGTTGTTGTCGTGATTGTTGCTTCAGTTTCTGACTTTTATCATTCGTGTAGTTTGTGGTTTTTGTTGCGTTGTTGTATTGTATGTGTCTGTTGTTATAGGCCTAAAGGCTGTCAAACGTATAGCAACGTATAGCATTGGACTTTCTTCTTTGTCGGATTATGAATGATTTTTCAATAATAATTTTTAATTTACTGGAGATTTTGTGCCATGGTTTGAAATGGCTTGACTTATTCGTTGAATTAATTCAATTGATTTAGTTGTAACAAAATTTTTAATTAATTCATCAATCAGACTGACATTGGAGCACATCTTCAGTAACATCGAGTCATGTGATAATGACGTTAGTCACTATCTCTTTCCCCTCTCTCCCTCTTTCTCTCTCTTTTCTCCCACTATCTCTCTATCTTAATTTCTGCCACTTCTTTTACTTTCTGTGATTGAGTTATTATTTAAAGGTTAAGCGTTATCGTCATTTCTACTGCTATTATTAGTATTATAACTGGTGTTATATTTCATTATTAATTACATTTATATTACTACTAGTTAGTATTGAGACTGCTATGTTTAGTAAAACAAGATGGCTGATATTTTCAATGGTCTATTGTGGGAGCATCTATCTGAATGAACATTTTGATATGATTCTGTTTTGCTTTTTAACTGGTAAAGGAATGTGGAATGGAAATATGTTTTTTTTTCCAAATTTGACGAAATGTTTTCCAACCCAGATCATCAAAAGGCAGTCTCAGTTTAGATACCACATAATACAGAAATTTATTATATTGGGCAGAGTTGATGGTTAGTTGGTTGGTTGGTTATTTGATTGATTGGATAGCTGGTTGGCTGATTGTTTGGTTGTTGGTTGGTTGGTTAGTTAAAAACTTGAGATGTTACATTCTAAAATTTAGACAGAATATAAACAAATGAATACAAATTATTATTATTATTTTCTAAAGTTCTGATTGAGTACATGAGCAGTTGGTGTCTGGACAAAACGTCGCAGGCCCACCCACAACTCCTCAAGTTCATGACACATCTGACTCTTTTCTTCAGGTCCTACCATGCAAGATATAGAGTTAGCTACATTTTTGTTTGTTGCTTTGCCTGTTTGTTTGTGTTTGTCCGTTTGATTTTATGCCTGTCCGTTTGTTTGTGTTTGTTTGTTTATATTTGTTTGTTTGTTGTGTGTGCATGTATTTGTGTCGTGCAAATGTTTACCTGCATATATTTCTGTCTCTTTCTCTCTCTCTCTCTCTCTTTCTCACTGTGTGTTTGTGTGTGTTTGTTTGTGTGTGTGTGTGATGTTTATTTATTTAAATATGGTGAGATGAAGTGCTGGAATCATTTGGTTGACATTGTTTTGGATTTTGTGAAGATAATGCATAAATTTACGATTGGATGGCTGAATAGATGGATAGAGATATCTGGATGGATGATTGAATAGATGATTGGAAGGATAGACAGCTGAATGGATGAATGAAGATGGACGGGTGGAATGATTGATAAACTGGTTGATGGATGGATTGATTGATTGATAAAAGTAGATATGCTAATATAAGTTAAAATAATTTTGAAAACATTCACAAATAAAACTTGCCGATGCGGTGGTCATTATTTAAATTTTGTTTAATTCCAAAATTTTCTCTGCTTTCGTGTTCTTAATTGCAAATAGAAACTTAATTAAGATTATCAGATTACCTATCGCTCAATGCTTCTGGCTGTCCATAGCAAAAGATATATTTCACAAGTAATATAGTTACTATGTGCATAAATGAGAGATGCGTTGACCTATATGAAAGTTCATCGTTTAACTTTAATGACCTCTCTTCACAGGCCGAACATGAAACTACAATCATAAAAAGCTACGTTGAATATCTTATCGGAGACAACCAATCGGAGCTGATTGCAAAGTACACGTCATATCTACCACGTGACTTACAAAATGTTCTCTACGCTAAATTTCTAGAAGGTCCGTGATGTGCGTGCATATTGTATTTGTATGCGCGTGTATTGTACGTGTGTGTGCATGTATGTGTGTGTGGTGTGTGTGTGTTTTCTTTACATATTACTTTTATGTTAATCTAATATTTTAGCCCATACTATCATCGCCTCTGCGGTTTTTATGAACACGATTTCCTTTTGAATAACCAACGAATACACTGTCATAGACATGCCTCACCTTAAAAACGAATATTCACATAATTTTGATCCATTCCATCGTACAGGTGTCATAGAGGTAGACAAGAGACAACACAGCTTGCAGCTGGCCAGTGAATTCGGCCTGGACTTGAAAAGCATCATCATTCTTGTGGTCAACAACATTTGTCGTAGGGAGCCATTCCTCGAACCTCTTATCAATACTGGGTTTGGTGGACCCGGCCAGTTGATGGAGACTGTCACTCAGGTTTGGCTTCTCTCTTTGCTTGCCTGTGTCTGTTTGTGTCCTTGTGTGTGTTTGTGTCTCTCTGTGTTTTGATGTCTTTCATGGTTTTGATTGTATTGCATGTAAATATATTTACCTGAGTAATAAACTGGTTAGATTGTTGTGTTATTTATTTTTATAAACTTAAAAATGTACAAAGGCTGACATGAAGAAGATAGATTGCATAGGCTGGCTGTTGTTTGATGAGGATTGGAGATTGGAAGCCATCAAGCATTCCAACTTCTTGTTCAGAGTTTTCATCTGTATGTTGACTCGTTTTGTATGTTTTTGTTTGTTTTTGATGTAACTTCCTCAACCATTTCATCATTTTCGATTTGTTTAAATAAAAATTTGCGAATGTAGCAGCGATGATAAGACCAGTTGATAACTTGAAGTAATGGAATGTTGTAGGCTCTAGGAAGATAGAGGCATGTGACATACTGATGAAGAAGTTGCCCATCGATTCCATACAAGTCATCGTGAATGCCTTTGAATCACCTGATGTATGTATCTCTTTCTCTGTTGTTCTGTCTGTCTGTCTATCTGTTCACTTATCTGTCTATCTGAATGAATAGATTAATCGACTGAATGATTAAAAAATGAATGAATGAAAGAACTTTCTGAATGATTGAAAAGAATAAATAAGCAAGTGTTTACATAAATGGTTGATTGGAAAATAGGAAAAAGCGATAAATGAGTAATTAGATGGAGGAATGAATGAATGAATGAATGAATGAATAAACGAATGAAACAAACAGGTGGACAAATTGCCTGCTCATGTTGACAATGCAATAAGAGAACACATCTGCATCAAGATCTATTTAGTATGTTTGCTTTTGTACATACTTTTGTAAACATTTCTTATTTATTAACCAACCTTGTTACTTCGTTTGCGTGCCTACAAAATTAAATATTCTATAAATTATAATTATTAATTAAAATAAAAAAATTCTAATTTAGAGTGTCTATCTAACCAACCAACCAACCAATAGCTGACTCTTACTATCTGACCAACCAACCAATCACTGATTCTTACCATCTGACCAGCCAACCAATCACTGATTCGTACCGTCTAACCAACCAACCAATCACTGATTCATACCGTCTAACTAACCAACCAACCAATCATTGAACAGGAGGCCCAGGAGCGTTTCTGTGAATGGTTCCAATGGCTGCATGGAAAGCCTAGCAAGCCAAAGGGCCCAGGTCACATGGGGTCAACATTATCGGAGAAGATGTTACATGAGAGTAACATGAAGATGTATGAAGAGGATTTGGAAAGATGGAATAAGACTTTGTCTTCCTTTGCTCAGGTAACCATAATTTTAATTATAATTATTATTATTTTTGTAGTTATTTATATTTATTGTTATTTATTGGGGATGACTGGTTTATACCGTTAATTATTTGTTAGCTGGTTCTCTCACTCTCTTTCTCTCTCTTTCTCTCTCTCTCTCTCTCTTTATAAATTTCAGATTGCATCTGAATTTGTACTTATGAATTTTGCTGTAGGCTTGCATTCATCTGTTTATGAAATAGTTTTATCTGCTATAATTTTAATGATTCTTTTACTTTCCCATTTTATTTTTTCTTTCAATATTTCCAACAGAAAGCAGTAGAGAAGATAAAAGATGTGCTGACGTTTGTTGACGGTGGCTGGATGGTTGACCAGAGGCAGGTTAGGTATTTCTCATTATTTGAAATGCCTCATCTTGAGGAATGGCTAAGTTAAGGACGATTTTTTTTTATAACAGGAGACTGATTTATTTTGTTTTATTTGAATCATTATTTTACACTTTAATACTATTAGCTTTTGTTTTACTTGCGAATGAACTCGGCTGCTTCATTTTTCTATTACACTTGTTGCTGGGAGCACATACATACTAATCTTTGCCATTTTAATTTCTATTTTCTCACAATAGCCATCACACTGCTAGGTGTAGTAGATCTTGTGTGAATGAATCTTACTGATCATCAGATTTCCAAACAATATTTCATTCATCATTTGGCTATCATTTTACAGTAGTTTCACCATCGTTACGCCATATTTTCACCATGATTTTGCCACCAATTCACTACAAGCAATTGTTATAAATAAAAATATCGCTCAACATGAAACACTTTCACATTGAAGGACGACGAGACAGTTGATGAGATGAGGGTACAGCAGATAATTCTTCTGAGACAACTCTGCCTACCTGCACTCTTTGTACTCCTTCAGAAGATCTACCACACCATGAACATGTATAAGGAGAGCATGCAACTCATCGATCTTCTCATGTCTCAGCAACACCAACTCTATAAAGTAAGGTTTCTTTTCAAATCATCTTAATTCACTCATATGTAGTAACTCTACAAACTAATATTGCTATTTATTTTTATATAAAATTTTTTGTGTATCGTGTTGACACATTGTTGACTGTTTTTTTTTTAAATTTTTTTTTTGTAGATAGATGCGTACATTGAAAGGATGTTTTTTTGTATATATTTTATTTCGTAGTGATAACTAAGATGATATAAAACTAACAATACGTCGTCATATGAACTGAACGTTGAAAGAGTGTAATTGACCTTTAACCATTTTTATTGACCTTTAACGTTGCAGGTATTTAGTCGGGGTGAGTTGGAAAAGTATGCCTACGAAACACTGGAGTCGTCCGTCTCATCTCTCCATCAGCAGCTAGACGTACTCGGATATCCATAAATGATTTCATCAAATTAATCTTTCAACTGTTTTTACGCGTTTCTTATATTTTTGTGGTTTGGATACTCTGACGCGCCCACACCTGTAATTTGTTGTAGTGGCATATGTATATATGTATTAAACGTATGAACATAAAAACGTTTAAAAACGAAAATGAGCTTGTTTCATATCTTCGGTGTCTTACGGTTCGAGTCGTGCCTTTACTTCATTATCAAAATGTTTCGACTATTAGTTGGACCACTGAAATAATTGTCACCTGTATTAGCCTTACTCGTTTGTTTACCTTATTTTCGCTTTTGAATGAATTTGAATTTATTAATTTAAATCGAGCGGTCGTCGATTTAAATATTAAATTAAACATATATCTTAAAATATGGCGTTCGAAATGCTTCACACAACTTTTTTAATTTCTACGTTACTCGGGTTTGCTTCCGCACAAGAAGGTAACTGCACACTTACCTTTTATTTCTTATTAGTTTTACTTTTGATTTTACGGTCGGTAATGGCAAATGTAAAATATTAAAAAATCGTTGATAGTAACCTCATTAAATACTGAATAATGAATGAACCATCATAACGTCTGCAGCAATCTCCGTGCACGAGCGAATGAACGTTTGGCTGTACAGTGGCCTGGCCTTCCTAATCCTTATCGTCACCATGATCGTCCTGCTCATAGTACAGCATTGTTCAGGTTATCTATGTGGCGGTATGAAGAAGAAACTTGACATCAATGTCCAGAATATGACCAAGGCATATGCAGTCTACCAGATGCCATCTTAACTTGTTTAGCTCTCTGTTATTGTCTATATTATCATTAACTCCCACTATTATTCTATTATTATTAATAATACCAGTTATCATCATCACAGGCTTTATTTCATAACAGAATGTTTACTTTGACTATGTTATGTTGTCATTTCATGCCAGATTATTATCAACACAGTGAACATTTTTATTATGTTTGACGTTTTCACTATGCTCATTGTTTTTTTTTGTACTGTTTTATTATATATGTGTGTGTGTTTATGTGTATGTTTATAAAAGCTGTACATATATGATTCCTGTAATGAGACTAATGCCGGTTTGGTTAGTTTTTAAGTTTGAATTTTGAAATAAAAACGAATTTATAAAATTTATTCAAATTTTTAAAAAACTAATTACAACTTGGAAACTACGTAAGAAAATAAATATATTATTATACTCAAAGAAGAGTGAGAATATATACAAGTAAGCATACAACGTACATATACCGCGTAGTTATATAGATACAATACAACAGCAATGACAGTGTAATACGTTAAGTTACAAGGAAAAATTGTGAATGATCAATATAAAAAAATTTGTGACCAGCATTTTTACTGTATCGAATGTCCGGACATTTCAAATTAAATTCTTCGTGTGAAAACTCTAAAACACAACAAATGATAGAAACATCACAATTTATAAAATGAATTTAAATTAATAAAAACGAAATTGTAAATGAAAACTTATTTTAACTTCATTGTCACCAGAAAATTGTTTGCACAAAATGGACATAGTTTCGTCGAGATAGTCAGATGAACTTCGAAGAAATTTAAATCAATAATTTTATCTTATGGCAACAACATTAACCTCAATTTATATCCAACTATAACGAGATGATGAAAGTATCCTTTCACGTATGTAGAATAATGTAACAAAAAGATTTAACATCACCATCTAGAGTCACTCATCCTCATCATTTCACCATTCACCATCAAAACCGACATCGCCTGTTTTATCATTAATATCAATACTATCATTTCATTACCATCCAACTAATCATCAACACCAAAAACAGTAGTAGTTCTAGTAACATCTGAACCCATACGAATAGACATGATCGCTCATAAACGTACATCATATCGCATCATCATCATCATCATCATCATAGGATGTTAATAAGATTTCGAGGATGGTACAAAAATGGGCGGATCAGTTGAATGGCTTGTTGAAGGTTTAAATTGTATCGATTAAATCGTGGATTCGTCTTTAAAAATAAATTAAATAAATAGAAGATAAACTAAAAAAATAGGTTGAATTTCTTTTAAAAGCACAAATTGGACTGGAATGATGATAATTAACATCTTGTCCATATAGTACGTTTATGAATGTATTTTTGTATGTATAATGTATGAATGTGTTTTAAAGCGTGTGCTAATGTGTATGTATCGATTCATATCCCATGTTACACTCCAAGTAATCCTGCCATGTATTTATGTAGAAAAATTTTGCATATGTCTATCATACTTGATGAACGGTAACAACTATAAAATAACGACTCCACTCGTAAGAATGTAACCGATTAACTTAACTAATGTAATGAATGTAATCAATCAATCTATCAATCAATTAATTAATTAATTAATTAACAAACTAATAATAACTTAATTTGATTACCAAAGTTGAAATTGAAAAACACGAAAAGACGCCATGTAGAGCACCAACGAATGTTCAAACATTCCTCCGTTATAATATAATGAAGCTTAATTGCATCGCAGAGACAACAATTGTTATCTGTTAATTATAATTAAACAATAAAACTCTTTTTAATCTAACTTAACTAACGTGTGTGACGACAATGACGACGATAATTATATATATATATTTATATATATATAAATATATACATACATATATATATACATACATATATAAATATATTAACAGAGAGAGAGGGAGAGAGAGATTAACACAATTAACAACATATTAATAGAATGATATAAACATGTCAGTTATTTATTCTCGATTTATCAGCGCCTCAAATATTTATTTAATTTCAGCCATCGTACTTAATTTAAATTCAAAATATTAGTTACACACGCACACGCACACACACACACACACACACACACACACACACACACACACATTGAAAGCACCTTATAACATATATAAGTGAATCCAAAGAGACATAAATGAAATTTCACTTCCAGGTGTTTGGATAAATAAACATTGTGGGATTTCAGAAGTTAGGTAAGGAACGGTTTAAATATATAAGAAGGCATCAATTGTCAATGCATCCGATGATCAGCCATGAATGTAGATACATAACATTCAGCGAAAATAAACTCCAAAATAACATTTAACGACAGAAAAAACAAAACATAACCAAACTGACTTAACTAAAAATAACAAGCAACTAACATTTAAAAACTTACAATAACGATTGCCTTTCACCGAAACAACAATGCGTAACAGCAGCAGGCAAAACAACTGATACAAACCAACAGAACTGCATACCAAATTACAACAAAAAAGTCGACATACATAACCCACGAGCAACAAATAAACCGAATGCTTTACTTTTTTTCTATTTTAAAAAACTTCGAATTTACATAATATCCTATAGCTTCATTTTCAGACTACGTATTTAATAAAAATTTAAATTGCATGCCGTTTATATAAGACAATATGGAAAGTTTTATATTTAAAAGCTAAAATTATATATATATATATATACATATATATATATACATATATATTCAATTGCATATTTAAGAAATATTATTATAATTGATTTGCTTAATTAACCATACTGCAGCTATTATTAAAATGAATATTCAGATTATTATATTATAGTTATGAAAAGTTCTCACAATCCAGAAACCAAAAATCTTGGTTACTTGGTTAAGTGTGCAGAGCGCAAATCATCGACTTTAATAAAATGAAAAAAATTTTATAAAAAAAACACTTTTTAATAAACGGGAAGTTGAAATGGTTGCACTTTCCATTCGAAACACGACTCGATAACGAAGCATAAGACAGATTTTTACTCATAAATTATAGACATTTATATAATACAATTGACAAAACACAAAACACACACACACACACACACACACACACACTACAATTGAAAACACAATACACACAACATGAAGTAACCAGACTTAATTCATTCATTCATTAAAAATAGTTATTACATTTTCGGCTATTCAGCTATCCCGTTTCCGTACAACTATCAAGTGTACAATTCAGGTCGGCTATTGACGATGTAAACGTCATTACGGCCATCATCATCGGCATTATCATAATTAATTACCATAAGTAATTATCATTCGTCATCACCGAATGCGAGCGGCTGAATCAATGTCTATCCATACTATGGACCATCACCATACATATGACGAATAGCATGCATTCAGAGAGCTGCATAGCTTCTCTTTTTCCTCTTTGTTTTTTCCTCTTTTCTTTTGTTTGTTCTTCCTTTCTTTTAGAATGTTTTTATTGAATCAAAATGATATACATCTTGATATACATCTTGATATATGTCTCTTGATATACGCAACTTGCTCTCCAATATTATCATTTCTGATCAGCCCATGGTTCTGTTTCTTTAAATCTAATAACATTCACTTACCAAATATATATGACATTCTTCATTCACTCCATAACTAATCTATACATTTTCTTTATTGTCTCTCACCCACTTTCTCCCTTTCTCTCTCTCCCTCTCTCTCTCTCGTCCTTTTTCTCGCTCTGTCTCTCTGATTATAACAAGCAAACAAAACATGGAGCAATCTAATCATTTCCTGCCATTCAAATTCTATAAATCTCTACGATTACTTGCCCCAAAGTTCTGAAAATATTCTGTAGATTTCATGAAAACAATTTTACAACTAAATAACCAAAGAAATCAATTCCAATAAAAATCAATTACATTTAATCTTTTTAACAAATTACAACAATAATTTCAGTTAACCAAATTACTTATCATCCGAGAAACTCCAACTGAAAAATGATCACAAAAACAAATCAAATAATGACAAGCGAACATTAACAACAACTAAACACACAACAGCTAATAAAAAAATATAATAATAATGACAATTTAAAAAATAATAGTAACAATAAACAACAATAATACAAATAACTAAAACCATGCTAATACTGGGCAGCATAATGTAATTAATCTACATGGTGGTATCTCTACTACGTACGATACGAATGAACTTTCTAAAGTGAATTTAAATTTTTGGACCTTATACGTGGCTCATAAGCTTGGAAAATAATAATATACATTCACTCACTCACTCACTCACTCACTCACTCACTCACTCACTCACTCACTCACTCACTCACTCACTCAATCAATCACTCACTCACTCACTCACTCAATCACTCAGCCGTCAAAGACAGCCAACCAATTAATACCAATCAATCATATTCTAACCGAAAGGACAAATTTGACAGTGTGGAAGAAATTTTTTGAAGAAAAAATACACTAAAACATTTTAATGGGAATCGAATTTGGATCTACCTCAATTAAAAATGAAGAAGATGTAAATTAATTTAAAAAGATAATTAAAATTTAATTGGCTACAGTAAAAAAAAAATTCATTCATGCAACTAATATCATCAAAGTTCTCACTTCACCAGCCAATCAATCAATTTAGATTAAAACAACTAATTTATTAATCAATCAATTAATTAATTAAACAATTAATTAATCAATCAAGTACAATCAATCAATTAATTAATAATAAAGTACAATTAAAAAAAGCACTAAAGTTAGAGAAGGAGACAGATAAGAACGAAACAAATTGAGTAGAAATACGTAGGAATCTAATAACAAGAATATAATTTGGATCATAGGCAAAAAAAATGGAAAAGTAAGATGGCCGTTGATGACTCTGTGACAGGAGAGGGAAAAAAAGTGAAATCAATAAATGAATTAAGATTAAAAATTTTTGCCGAGACAAACGGACACACACACACATCACATACGCACACATCACCCACACACTCATCACACGCGCACACACACGCACACAAACACACACATCACAAAAAAAAAACAAAATCCAGCATTTCAGATCATTTGCAAAACAGGCACGCACATATTTGCAGGTGTTATGTGTTGGTTAGAATTGTTTGAAAATTAAAAGTCTTTCTGAATGAAATTTAAACTGATTAGTGTAAGTTAATCTAACCATAATGTCATTTACAGATGAAAACATCAATCAATCAATCAATCAATCAATCAATCAATCAATCAATCAATCAGCCAACCAACCAACCAATAAAAAAATCAATCAATTAGAAAATCGTAAAAGCCCTCTCATCAATCGACCACAATAATTCGATCGATGAACTCCATGAACCTCTTAGCATACTGATCAGGTTTAACCGTTGATATCTCGGCCCCGGCGCCGTGCTTCATAGTTTTGGCTGCCTTCGCCGTTTTCTTCTTAACCCCGTATCGAGTCAGGATGTCGATAAGTGACATGAAGTAGATCACTGGCTGTGGACTTTCTGTCGCGGTGGGTGTGATGTGGTGATTGTTGTGGCGGTGTTTGGCGAGTGTGGTGATTGTTGTGGTGGTTGATGTTTCACTGGTTAGCTGTTCGAAAAAGTTAAATCTTCTTAAAAATTCAACCCACAGCAAGCAAACTAATAAAAATTCAAAATCAAAATTACTAAAAAGCGAGCTTACTGTCGTTAGATTTGATTGCAAAGTAGCCGGGATCATTCTGATCCGGTTCATACTCGTAGACGTAATCTCCGTCACTCTCCGTTCGAATGCGAGGTGAGGACGGAGGTGTGGTAAACATGCTGCTCTGTTGCCACTGGCGATGGTCCGGCTGGTCCTGGATCGATACCTGCTTTTTTAAAATACCACTCTTCATCTCTCGCTGCTGTGGTGGCTGTTGTGGCGGCGGCGGCAATTCGTTTGTTTCGTGTCGTTGCTGTTGTGGTGGCTGTTGTTGTGGCTGGGTCTCTTGTTGCGGTTGTTGCTGCTTTGGAGTTTGGATGGTTTCATTAGTGACGTCGTTAGCGTTGTTTTCGTCTTCCTGTTCCAAATCTTCATCATCCTCCTCTTCATCGTCCTCGTCCACGAAATTGGAAGGATGATTAACTTCGTGTATGCCGACCAGCAAACTGTAATCCATCAGATTCAAACTGGCCAGGAACTGATGGTCAGTACATTTGTTACGTAAATATCTTATCAGGGTATGTGAATTTGAGCAATTAAAAATTTAATCAGTAACATCTAAATTAATGACGTCAATATATTTACTTATATACTAACAAGCCAACAATATAAACGTTGGTAACATTTTATAAATGGACGCTAAATCGGCCTTTGTATTGAAAAATGTATTTCTTTTCAAATTCTAATTCAGTTATCAAAATTTACATGCTGTAAAAGTTTCTGCATTTGACAGACAGATTCTGATTTTTTAAAGAATAAAAAAAATTTCTAAATAAAATTAACGGTAGAATCAGCTTCAAGGATCTTGATGAGTTTGGCTTTGTCGTCCTTATGAATGTGTATGGAGGTCTTCTCACTGAGGAAGTCGTTGTCCTTTAAAGTTGGCAGTTCTTTGGCCCTTTCCTTCTCACTAGCCTGCCGGGCTACTGTCGAACCCTACGTTGTAATGGATGTGATGTGGTGTGATGTGGCTGTTAAGTTTGGTGAAACATGCTGGCGAATGAGGTGATGTTAATAAATGTTACGATATTCTATTCACGATCGTTAAGGACGATGACAAACGTATTGTTAAATAAATCTCATCAAACAAACCACACCAACAAAAAAACAATAAGAAACTACTGAAACCAACACACCCAACAAAAACAGCAACAACAGCAACGGCAGCAACAACAACAACAAATAAACAATATGATTCTCACTTTGAGATCGTACTTCCTATGTATGTTGAAACCAGCCGAGAAGACATTCTTCATGACCATAACGTGATGAGTGTCAGTATCGTTGATACATATCTTGTACATGCCCAGTATATGGGGAAGTCTTGTCTCCGCATGGTGCTCTACCACATACTGTTGTTTTTTCATATAAGTGTTTAGAGGTCAAGACAATAAGAAATATAAATTGTATTTTCATGATTTAAAAGATTATTTATTAATAAATCATAACATAATCATCAATTATATTACGCCATATTTTATTATAGTATAGTTTTGATACGCAATCATATTTTCCTAATATGACTATTAATTATACTGAACGAAAAATACTTTGACAACCTTTCAACATTGAATTAAATTTGTTGGCCAGCCAATAATGAGATATCAAATGTAATAAAGATACATAACCGAAAAACAGTATAATGAAAATTTCTAACACAAATAACAAAACATCTAAAGATTAATTGTATAAAAGTAATAATAATTTAATCTCTGTAATAAAACACAGGCAAGGCATGACAAGACCCCAACAAAAGATAACAGCATATGCTCATTAAACTAACAAACATTTGATATCAAGAATTCCTTCCATTCAACAAAAATATCATAGAAAACAGATAAATAAACAAGCAAATTTATACAAACACACATACAGACAGACAGACTCAAATAAACACACACATACACAGAAAGAGAGAGAAAGAGAGAGAGAGAGAGAAAGAGAGAGAGAAAGAGATACATACAAGGTAAATATATGTGTAACTTCTGTAACCAAAATTTTAGATAAAATGAATGTAGATGATTTAATATCTGAAGGAATGATCATTACATGAACATTAATGAAACTAAAGATAAAATAATTCAGGTTGGAAATAAAAAAAAATTCTATGTGCATTATTTTAATTCGTTTTCATTGTAAATAACAACAAAAACAACAACAAAACAGCAACAAATATAGCAGGAAATCTACAATAACATCAACAAACAACAACAACAGCAACGGCATTAACAACAACAATCCCATCGGCAACAAATAACAGTAACTGTTCATTTATACAATGTTGTATGTAGTATTAATTTATAACCAAATCATGATTTACATCATTCTTCTATGCTGCTTACAACAATAAGAATGAAACCTTTTGTTTCGAAATAAATAAATAAAATTTTATTACAAAAACAAAACATTTTATTCTTAAAAATCTGCTTTAATCTTGAAATTAAATTCAAATTTCTTTAAAACCTGTTACAAATTTAAAATTAAAATTTTCAATTTAGATTCATAAAATGAATGAATTATTAATTGTTTTTCATTATAAATTCGTTTGAAAAATCCAAATGTGTCATCAGGGTCTATTAAAGTTACCAGGAAATAAAACTTTAATTAGTTCTTCTTGTGAACAAGAAAGACAAAAAATAGTAAAACATAATGACAGCAATTAGTTAGATCATTACATTATTATTAATAATAACAACAATTAACAAAAACAACAACAACAAATAGAATGCATACAATTTCAGCAAACCAATAAAAGTTCATTACATAAAATAAATAAATAAAACTGCCAAAGTAATTAAAGAATCTGTGAAGTATAATATGATAACAATATGATGATGAGGATATGACATATGCTATATAACAATAAACATACACACAACCACGCCACCATCAACGTTATCATTATAGCTACTATCATCATCCTCATCATCATCCTCATCCTCATAATCACAATGACAAACGAGCATATACAGAGAGTTTAGTTTATCAATGGTGAAAGCATTAAGTTGTCTTTAAAAAACGAAATGAAGAAAACTTAGAAAACTCGAAAAACTGTTTTTCTTGATTGATAAATGATAGAAGCACTATTCTAGGGATACTACACACACGCACGTAAACACTACACACACACACACACACACACACACACACACACACACACACACACACACACACACACACACGACACAATAACAACAACCTGGTGGTAATCTTTCAGGATCCTGATCATTTCGGCGACATCTTCAGTGGTAATCGTTTTCAGGATGTACTTCCTGTCATGGCTGATCAGAAACCTGGCACCACTTTTGCCTGGTGAGTCGATATCTGTCGGGCAGTGCTTCACCAAGGAGTTCTGTTCAAATTAGTCAATAAATAGCTTAAAAAATAACTATGGTAAAATGTCAAATCAACTTTTTAAGGATTGTATGTATGTATGTATGTATGTATGTATGTATGTATGTATGTATGTATGTATGTATGTATGCAAACGTCATTTATTTTCATATTTCACATATCTCTCTCTCTCCTGTGCATTCGCGTGCGTGCGTGAGTGTGATACGCTGTTCGGAATATTTGTGGAGTATTTATGTTACATCATGATGGGTACATAAATTAAATTAAAGTACAAACAACTGCACTGAACTATTTTAAGTTAGCAATGTTTGATGATGCACTCTGACGAACTCACTTCACGTCATGAATATTCAAAATAATCATCAGCAGTCTCCTAACAGCAACAATAACAATACAACAATGAAATGATAATAAAGCAATGTTATTATTATTTATAAAACGCCTCTTTTTGTGCAAGCCCGCAAAAGTACTATTGAAACTACACAAGTATGTATCTCAAGAATCTATGTATCTATCTATCTATCTATCTATCTATCTATCTATCTATCTATCTATCCATCCATCCATCCATCCATCCATCCATCCATCCATCCATCCATCCATCCATCCATCCATCCATCTATTTGTCTGCCTATCTATCTGTCTGTCTGTCCTTTCGTTTGCCCATCCATCTATAAAAAATAAGAAAGAAAGAGAAGAAAAAAGGCACATTACTTAAAGAATCACTTGATAGTGACAATATTAAGCGCCAACATCTGGCAGGCTTATACTACAAGAAATGCAAGAAGAGATAAAAATATAAATTATTATTATAAGTAGTAGTATCAGTAATAGTAATATTAGTAGTAGAAGCAGCAGTAGTAGTAGTAGTAATAGTAGTAGCATTAGTATTATTAAACTTTATATGTACATGTATAAAGACACATTACAAGCATACATAAAACATGTATCTTATAAAGATATATAAAAGTATTTATATAACAGAACTGAACTAAAGTTAGAAAAATTGATGTAGTGGTGGAGAGGTATAAGACATGAAGCTAATGGGATTATAATGGAATAACGTTTAATTTTAAAATGGATTAATTGATTTACGTAATACCAAAGGGCAACGCGCAATGGTGTAATGGTAAAGTGCGTGGCAGTGCTACTGCAGTGACTGGATTCAATTGCTCAAAGATCCGCACATATAACATGCAATGTGTGTGATGCGTTGTTTCACGTGTGTTAACAGGCACTGTGTGATTGTTGCTGATGCAGCTGGAAAATATCGAAGAGAGAGAATTGTATCGAACTGCAATAAAGTCATTCATCCTCTCCTGGCGCAAATATGTTCAAATATTTTTAAGTAGAATGAAATATGATATTTTTCCTCTAAAAACTGATTTTAAAATTATTAAAAACCAAACGTACTATTCTAATACAAAAAAGCCAAATAGGTAGCCAACTACTAAAAATATGTAACTGTTGTTTTTTTCAACAATTCAACAAAAAACACTAGTTTAATCAGCTGCAATGCAGAAAGAAAATAACACAGAGAGGAAAAATAACAATAAATTTATTCATAGCAACCCGCAATAAGAATGGAAATAAAAATAATGTGAATAACCTCTCAAATAGTAATTATGACTGAGATGAAGAATATAATTAACCAGAGATAACTGAGTTAACTGGTAACAAGGAAAGTTAGGGAGAGAGCGAGAGAGAGAAAGAGAGAGAGAAAGAGAGAGAGAGAGAGAAAGAAAGAAAGTGGAGTGAATTAAAGTGATAAGTTGATTTGTAACAGAAATGTTGAGAGATTTCAGGATTGAGAAAAAAAATTTCTGCTGTTTTGAGAAACCATTTGTTTCTTTAAATAGTGAGTGAATGTTTATATGTGAATGCTAGTAAGCAGGCATGTTGTATCTGTGCCCGTATGTTTTTGTTTGTGTGAGAGTTGTATGTACGTGTATGCGTGCGTGCCTGTATATATATATGTATATATGTGTGTGTGTGTGTGTGTGTGTGTGTGTGTGTACGTGCGTGTAATAAATTACAAAATTTTTAAAAATAGACAGAGCAAAGTTACAACAACAGGATCTCAATTGTTGTTTAAAGTTTCAACTGCAATTCCTTATTGGAACTTTTTAATTCGCAAGTAATTATTTAATAAATACATATTATTATTATTATTATTATTATTATTATTATTATTATTATTATTATTATTATTATGTAGTAGTAGTAGTAGTAGCAGTAGCAGCAGCAGTACTAGTAGTAGTATTAGATACGTTAAAATAATTTTTTATCCTCATATTTTATAAATTTGAAACAATAAAATGATGATGATAATAATAATGATCGGAAAACTGAAAAATCAATACCATTATGTAACTAACGCTCCTTTGCAAATTAAATAAAAAAGACACATTACAATTATTAACTCATATTGAAAATCGTGAAAAGTTATCAAACAACAGTGAAAGAATAAATGAATGAATGAACGAATGATCAAAAGAATGGACAAATGAATAGAAAAATAAACGAATATATGAGTTATTCCCTTTAACAAAAGAGTGAGAAAGAGAGCAAAAAGAAAAACGTATACACAGCAAGTAGATAGATTGATAGAGAGAGAGAGAGAGAGAGAGAGAGAGAGAGAGAGAGAGAGAGAGAAAGAGAGAGAGAGAGAGAGAGAGAGAGAGAGAGAGAGAGAGCCTATACCCGCTCACTCCATCAAATGAGAGTGAAATGACATAAAAAGTAACGAACCATGTAACAGTCTTCATCAACAGAAAATCTCTCCCTTAGATTCCTAAAAACCAGTGGACACCATTCTTTGAATTTGAAATGGCTCGGCATATTCTCTCTGGTCGATTGACGATTTATTACATTTTAATTCCTTTTTATCTTTACAAAAAAAATTGGTTAAATAAAAAAAAATATTAGACTGCTATTATTATTATCATTATAATTTTTACTAATATAATTATTTCCACTATCACAATTATCATCATTATCATCTCAGTCATTATAGTCAGCCAGCCACATAGCATTTTATAAGACAACGTACCAAGAATTGAAATATATATATATTGTCAAGTCAGTAATAAATCAGTCAATAATTAATTAAGTCAGTAACTAATTAAGTCAGTAATGAATTAAGTCAGTAATGAATTAAGTCAGTCAGTAATTAATTAATCAATTAATTGATATGGCAAAGGATTACCAAGAAGTATTTTTTAAAAAAGTAACATAAAATCAACTTGTTAAATAGATGGTTGTCTATTCTTATCTTGGAGTAGGCCTTGAAATCATCTGGCATGAGCATGACAGGCGGATTAACCAGGCTCAATTCGTTTATCTGTGAAAAACAATTATTACACAATAATAATGATGATGATAAAGTTCTTGCTTGGTGGTCAGGTTTTAAAGTTGTATGGAAATTAAGGCTTGATGTGTATTTATAAGTATTGAGACAAAACCTATTGACGATAACTATACTCATAATGACGATAGCTATATTAATAATAAGAAATTTTTTATTTTTCAAGTTTTATTCATCAAATCAAGATTAAATGGAAAATGAATCAAATAAAATTAAATAAGATATGGAGAACAGAAAATGGCAAAACAGGCCACCAGTTGATTATACTAATAATTATGGTAGTAATAAGAATAATAATAGTTATACTATATATATATATAAATATATATATATATATATATATAATACTAATTATGGTAGTAATAATAATATTTATAAAAATAACAAGAAACCAATCAAATGTTTATTATTATTAATATAAGAGCAGAAATGTATTGATGATCCATGATTCTTCCAAATGTAGTTACCCTGAATGTGTATACATAAAGAATGATGTGAGTAAAGACATGGTGTCAAAAATTACCATGAAAAATAAAGTGATTTTTTTCTATTAATAGTATATAAAAGTCCAACAAATTATTCAAAACAATGGAAAATGGAAAATTAATTAGTGAAAAAAAAAGAAAATGAATTATCTAGCAATAGAGAGAGAGAGAGAGAGAGAGAGAGAGAGAGAGAGAGAGAGAGAGAGAGAGAGAGAGAGAGAGAGAGAGAGAGAGAGAGAGAGAGAGAGAGAGAGAGAGAGAGAGAGAGAGAGAGAGAGAGGAGAGAGAGAGAGAGAGAGAGAGAAGTGAATAATTAGTATAAGAGTAGTCATGCATTTATAAAAGAAAATAAAATAAATTCAGAAAGACTAAATAGAAGACACACACACACACGCGCACGCACACGCACGCACAAACACACCACACACACTCACAAATTAACAGATATGTACAAACACCTACACATACACAGCACCACATACATAAATAAATTTGCACACAAATCTCTCTCTCTCTCACTCTGTGTGTGTGTGTGTGTGTGTGTGTGTGTGTGTGTGTGTGTGTGTGTGTGTGTGTGGTGTGTGTGTAAAACATGGGATAATTACACAAGCCTATTTCTTGTTTGCCTGGTACATAGAAAGAGCTTTTTAATTATTTTATCATCTTTGTTATCTTCTAATAATATGATACAGTTGAAACACATCAAGAAGTAATTAATTGCATACATAATCACCCTACCTCTTCTCATAATTTTGATAATAATTATTTAATTGTGATAATTATCAATAATTATTCTTATTGTGAAATTATTTAGTAACAATCTTTTAATATGGTGGAATTATTTTATTTCAAGACATGAAAAAAGCAACAGACAGAGAGATTAGTTGAAATAAATTGTAAACTGCAAAACCAGATGCCAAAAAAATCTCGAATATTAAAAATAATATGACAATAAGAAATTATATGTTATGATATTTACTTCACACAACAACACAATACTAAACTAATCTGCATTACACATTATGTACGTAATATGTAATATAGAAATTGATGAATTAATGAATTGATGAATATAGAAATTGTTGAATTAAAAGACAAAATTCAAAATTTGAAAATAAATGGCTGCTTATCACAGATATAAAACTCTATGCTTCTGACATTTTTATCTCTGCCAGAATATATAAAAATTTTCTAGACTTTCCACAAAAAATTGAACAAGCCTATATTTATTACTAACTTTATTTACTTTACTTTACTAATAAACTTTATTTACTACTATTAAAAGTTAAATAGCTGGTTAAACTTTATTTCATCAAATTTTTGTATTACAAAAAGATATACCTCACTGAAAAATAACAAAAACTTTTGATTTAAAATTTAAATTAAAAAGTTATAACAAAAGAATGTTGATCTGATTTCTGCAGTTAGAAGACTTTCTATATTGTTTACTATATTCTATAAAACATCAATTAAGCAATTAAAAAATGTTATTCATTATTTTTTGTACACTAAAAGAGACAGAACAGAGAAATCAGAAATGAGATAAATAAATTGATAAAGTAGATTACAACCTCTAATCGAAATATAAAATTGGCATTTAGCATTAGACATTAGCTAGAAAGAAAGATAAGAAAGACTGTATACGACAAGGCTGGGCAAACTTTTTGCTCTTAGGGCCACATTGGAACTATTTTACTTTTGAAAACCACATATGTACTTGAAAAGCAAACTTTTTCGACCCGGGGGAGAATTTTTTAAAGATTTTTGGCTCCTTTTTTTGGTCAAAATGTCTGGCTAGTGACATTTTTTGGGCAAACAAGGCCTTGCGAGCTGCATAAAATAGCTTTGCAGGCCGCATGCGGGCCATAATTTGCCCACCCCTGGTATAAGAGATGATCCGATGACAGATGGTAAAATAAATAGATGATAAAATTGTCAAATTTTATTGTGAACAATTGATGTATCATTAAATTTCTATCAGTAAATGAAAACTTGAATAAATGTTAAATTTAAAATAAAAGTTTTTTAATTAAATATTAAAAATTAAAACTTAAAAAGTATTCTTCTTACAATTATTATTTTATTAACCTTACTCTAACAAATATTATATTGTAAAAATTTACCAAAATTAACGAACATCATGAATGAAATAAATTAATTTAAAATGGATGCCAACAAAGTTTGAACAAACCGAGTGATTGACGCCCCACATGATTATTCCTAGCAGGGGCTCCTTGGCCCTGAAAACCCTCAACTTCTGGTGCACCGCCTTGATCCGCTTCTTCTTTTGTTTCGTTGACACTGATTGTATCGACGACATGATTTTAAAATAAATATGGAACTTCAATTTATTTTCACTTAAATAACTCTAAACCACATATAAAACCTATAATACCGAAATGATGAAAAACAAGAGCGATCGCATTGAATACATGATACCGAATAGAGATGTGCAACTAGCCGATACCGACTGATTAGACCGAAAAATAAAATCGACTATATATGGCTGGATCATTTTCGCTAATTATTACATATTTATATAGTTTATTGTTATTGGATACCATATTTAAATTTTTAAATAACACCAATATGTTTTCCACACTATCGTACGCACAGGAGGGCAACAAAAGGAAGAGGCAAAAAAAACACAACACAACTAATTTTCTGCCGTTCGGAAGATGGTGGTGTTGCACGAGTCATTAAGTGCTACGTTTGAAATGTTATAATTGTTAATTAATTTTTTTTAATTTTCAATATTAAATCCCGAAGTTATTTTTTTCATCGTTTTAATATGGTAAATTCAGAAAAAAATTTTTTTAGCTGGTCTAATGATCTCAGAGCAGAGGGGTGGTTGTCGTTATCGTCAAATGATGATCGGATGGCAGTGGAGAAGATTTCAGAGGTTGGTGGGAACACACTCACACCCACCCACCCACACACACACAAACAAACACACACACACCACACACCACACACACACACACACACACACACACACACACACAAACAAACACACACACACAGATGGTAAATTCAGAAATTTTTTTTCTAGCTGGTCTAATGATCTCTCAGGGATGGTTGTCGTCATCGTCAAATCATGATCGGATGACAGTGGAGAAGATTTCAGAGGTTGGTTGGGTTAGGGTTAGGGTTATAGAGTTGCACGGTTATTTAGATTTTGCACGGTTATATAGATTTATATAGAGTTGCACGGTTATATAGAGTTGCGCGGTTATAGAGAGGTGTACACGGATTTTGTTTTGTTGTATATGCATATACACATTTTGCGGTGTATGATTGTTGCATGGCTACATTTAAATTAGTTTAACTGTTGATTTAATTAATCTAAATTAGTTAGTAGTATTGGTAAATTATTATACTTTGTAACCGATTACTTCTACACGTTTTTTAAATATTATTTTTAGACTTATTTGTTAACATAGTCATGTATTCTAACATGTTTAAGTTTATTAACATAGTCATGTTTTCTAACATAGTTAATATTGTTATTGTTATTCTGGCGATGACGATGATGATTGTAGATATTGGTTAGCTAGGCACATTGAAAATTGCCATAAAAACCACTGAATCAAACCGCCAAAATATTTGTTAGTGTTGGTTTGTTAGTTATTATTTCTAGTTTCTAGGCGTATTTGTTACATAATTTCTAAACGTATATTTTCCATTCATCCATTCATTCAATCAATCAATCACGGTGGCATAATTAGTTTGTAGAACTGTTTATAACGGAAGTTCAGAAATGGTTGTGATGTGAACGTTCAAACGTTCATCATCGCGCTATGTTTGTTCTTTCAGTGGCAGTGAATGCAAGCCTGGCTGAGATGCTTATGCATCCGGCGTCGGCTTTGCTGGAAGTAACGACGGGTGTTACAGAGGGACGCTACCGATGGTGGCTGATGGTGGGAGGGAGTCCAGTGGACAGCAGCCATTCATCACTACGGGGTTCTCTTTCTTTGAGAATCTCGCCGATGATTGGCTGTCAAAATTAACGTGGGTAGGGCTCGGCGGAAATGTATCTGTGCACCGGCTTTCGGTGAAACTTAAGTACATCAGCCCTGCCGTACATTCAATCAATCAAACACTGGTTAGCAAGGCTCTTCGAAATTGCTATAAAACCAATTGATCTGAGCCAAGTTTTTATATTTTAATATGTTTGATGGTTGTGCATATATCAATCAATCAATCAATCAATCAATCAATCAATCAATCAATCAATCAATCAATCAATCAATCAATCAATCAATCAATCAATCAATCAATCAATCAATCAATCAATCAATCAATCAATCAATCGATCGATCGATCGATCGATCGATCGATCGATCGATCGATCGATCGATCAATCAATCAATCAATCAACAATCAATCAATCAATCAATCAATTAGCTTATAAAGCGCTATTTCCGCGATGTTCAACAGCGCTCCTCAATGAATTTTGAAAACAGATGGGTCTTGAGATCCGCTCTGAACTTCGCAAGTGATGGAGAAGTAGTCAGAGAAGTAGGTAGAGAGTTCCAGAGAAAAGGACCAGAAAAAGCAAAAGCAGATTTGGCAAAAGAGTGTTTAACACGAGTTAAGAAAAAGCGAGAAGAAGAAGACGATCGTAAACCGGGGCGTTTAGGGTTCAATTAATATATCTGATAAATACTTAGGAAATAATTTAGATTGAGACTTATACATGAACGTGCAAATTTTAAAAATTATTCTATATTTTATAGGTAGCCAGTGCAAGAGAACAAGATATGGAGATATATGAGAAAAGAAAGGGGCACGAGCAACTAGACGAGCAGCAGAGTTAAAAGCTTTACTTAAAGGATAGAGTATAGAGTCAGGAAGACCATAGCAGAGCGAGTTACAATAATCAATCCTAGATAAGACTAACGAAGTAACAAGAAGGAGAAGAGTAGGATCATCAAGAAAAGGCAAAAGTTTTTTTATTCTACGTAGATGAAAGTAAGAGAAAAAAAAATATATAAAAATATATGAAAGAAAATTATTTATTGTTTTGTTTTTTTTAAAAGAAATGTCACAAAGTGTCACAAGTATTTGGCTCTTAAAATGAAAAATAACAACCTGTTGAAGCATGACGAACTTCAAATTGTAATAAGAAACTTTCAGAAAACGAAAATTTACCGTTACCAGAAGAAAATACCCATTTTGAATAAAACTAAGAAAAAAATCAAACAGTACAATTACAAATAATTAAATTACGTTTGAGAAGTATTAATGAAAAGTAAAAAGGAGCATAAAATTTGAAAAACTTTAAGAAAAAAATTATTTTAAATGTTTATCTAAAGTTTTGCAGGAGAAAAAGATTGCCACAATTCAAAACCAACGTTACACTGATGAATTAAAAATGTTAAATTAAACAAATCAAAAGAAAAAAAAGTAAATAAATAAGATATTAACCGTACAATTTTCAAATTTAATTTCAAATTATAACAAAGGAAATATTTGATCGAGTATATAAGCTGTTATATTATCGACATAGAGAGACATAGTTGGCTGAGGTGAAATGAGAGGTTGGATTTGTGAGCCATCTCATTTTCATTCAATGATTGCATTAGCTGTTTGGAAAAATTTAAGTTGAATTTATTACGGAAAATTATTTATTTATATTAACTTTTTTCTTATTGTCAGTAGAGTATGACATTTTGACTTTTTAATAGGAGGTTTGTTAATAGAAGTTTAGAATCGTCAAATATCATTAGTATTTCTATCATAAGCCTTTAAATGAATTATCAAATAGTTAGAAAAATTATCGATTGCATGGCGAATGAACAGAAATAGCGGTGAATGTTTATGAGACCGACTTCAACACTGAGATCTTCAACGAAGTGGTACAACTCCAACAATGCTCTTTCCATGTTGAAACTGTCCGCATGTTCCTGTACATGGGTTTACGGCATTACTATTTATTTACAAATTTCGATTTATTTGAGAACTCTAGATAGTTTATTCATAAAGAGTTTGTTTATTAAATGATTTTGAAATTTTTGATTTTAAATTTGTAAAACTACTTGAAAGAAAATAAGTCAAACCGAGATACATTCAGATATGTCAGATAACAATTCGTGATGGGATAATGATGGAAGCTTTTTGACGGATTCGTAATAACTTTTCAGGAAAATTGTTAGGAAAAAAAATTAGTAATATTTAATTTATTGTAATTTGGCAAATACATATTAATAAATCTTTTAATTGCGGTGTTAGATAATTTATCGTATGATATATCGTTACAAAAATAATATAACTAAGGTTTAATATCTCAGTAGATTTTGTTTGTTTTAATGAAATGACTTGGGAAAGAAAAAAGCCAAAAATATATTAAATTAGAATATTATTTATATTTTCCATAATTGTGTGATAAAATTGAATTTAATCCCTCAAATTACTGTTCAACGACTCTTTTGAATTTTTTGACTTCCCTGGCAAAGAGCAGCTCACTGAACTTAGAATCCTTCGTCAGTTTGCGAACATCACTAGAGCAACAGTCTCTAAATATTTGGGCTACGGCGGACAGATTGCGTTTCACGGATGGCGTCAGTTTTACGTCAAACAGACGATCAACATTCTTTATTAGGCTCAACCAGATGCGTAGAGGTAGGCTGTTTTTTTCAGGGAATTTTTTTTGAAATTTTAGAACTTTTTTTCGGTGAATTTTGTCTTATAATGAATTAGGAAACGAACGATTTTTTAAAAAACAAATTAATTAAATTTATTAAATAATAAATCGTGAATAAAATTAAATAAAAGTTTATTTGTAAAAAAAATGACTGAAATAAAATACTTCAACCTGTTAGATTTCCACGCGTTGACAACTTTCGTGTCATCGACACCGTACTGGAGAGCTTGCTCGTCAAGGAAGTCAAAGATGAACTTAATGGGTGCCATCAATAATGAAAGATTGAGTTGTTGGTTCTGTTGTTGTTGGTGGTGGTGTTGTTGGTTGTTGTTCGTCAGCGATTTGCGGTCTGTTGTGTTGCATTGCTGTTGAAATGCTGTTCTGTTGAATTGAGCGTGATAAGCTGCTGGTGTTTTTGGCGCCGGTGATGCTGCTATGGAGTTCGTCTGCTGACTGCGGTATATTTGGTGTGTATCGACGGTATTTGACGTATTTGGAGTTCGGTACTGCACTGAGAAGATCACCTCGAACAGATCAAAGATGTAACTTTCAAGAACTTTCTAAAAAAAAATCAAATTATTCATAGACACAAAAATGCGAGTACTCTGTTATAATATATTCTTTATTACACAATTATATTTCACTACAAAAACTTTTCCCACACCGGGAATTGAACCCGGGCCGCCAACGTGAAAGGCTGGAATCCTAACCACTAGACCATGTGGGATATGATAGCATCTCTTCTTGGTTCATATCAAATTGCACGTTGTAGGCCATTGCATGTTTGTGTGTGATTGTACTTCGATTGTTGATTGCTTGTGCTGTATAACATACATTATGCTATATATCATAGATATAGAGACTAATTTTTTATATCTATGTCATGTATTTTTGCATAAATATAGAAAAATGTATCTATATATCTATATCTATATATTAGTCTCGAGACAGATATATAGATATCTATGTATTTTGAATTTTTTTTTATAAATTTCAAAATATTGAAAAAAGAATTTTTTTCCTGACTAACCGACCGCTATCAACACGTAAGAATTTTAATTGAAAATTTTTTTAGAAATTCTGATAGGAAATTTTTTTACCATAAAAAATGTAAGAATGTTTGATCCAGTGATGACGTAAGTACTCAAAAAATGTACTTAAGTATAAGTACTAAGTACTCAACAATAAAAGTACTTAAGTATAAGTACTAAGTACCAAAACAAATTGTATACTTGATACTTATAAGTACTAAGTATAAGTACTAAGTACATAAGTACCTAAGTACATACCATGGTTAATTTGAAATATTTATAAATTTATTAAACTCAGAAATCAACTCATTATTTACAGTAATTTATTTACATCAATAAAAGAGTTTGTTCTTTTTGAGTAAAAGTAAAGTTTCAAATGATTCATCACTTAAACGATTTCTTTTAGGAGTGAGAATCATTCCAGCCTGGCTAAATATACGTTTTCATCAAAATCACTTCAACACATATATTTATAATGTAAACGAAAACACTTCAACACCTATATCTATAATGTAAACAAAAACACTTCAACACGTATATTTAAAATGTGAACAAAAACACTTTAACACATATATTTATAAGGATTGTTATATATATATATATATATATATATATATATATATATATATAATAACTACTATATATAGCGTGCATGTGTATATAGATCATGTAGAGTCTATGATATAGATATATAGATGTCAGAGTGATGTGAGTTAACCACCTTTTTTAATGACTCAATTAGCCAATGGTTATCATAACATCCCGCTATCCATGACTAAACAAGAACAAATGTTGATAAGAGAGATAAACAAGAATGTCAATGTGAAAATGTGTGTGTGTGTTTTCATCACAGTTTTCAATTTTTAAATGTTGACATTATCTTATTTTTGCTTAAAATTTTTCTGGTACTTACAGGAAAAATTTATTACTTATAAGTACAAGTACTGGAAAATGTACTTAAGTATAAGTATTTAAGTACAGGTTTTCATATATACTTAAGTATAAGTATCTAAGTACTACATTTGTACTTAAGTACGTACTTAAGTACAAATGTACTTAAGTACTCGTCATCACTGGTTTGATCAAATGATAAATTCAATTTTAACAAAATAGAGTATCATAAAATTATAATCTAAAATATTAATAAATGAGTAAATTAAATTATCTAAATAGGAATGAATAATGAAATTAAATTATTTTTAAAACCTTAGTAGTGCACACGGCAGATATGAATTCGTTATCGTGGTCGGTCAGTCGAGATGCGGTCAGTAACGTTTTACTGCGGTCATCAGAGTAGTTGGACACCTGAAACATTAATTAATTGAGTTATCAAATTAATCTATCTATTGCTACCAATTAATTGATTTATTATTTCATTATTTCTATTATTTTTACAACTTTTTTAAGTTATATACTCTCAACGACACTAACCAAATGCCGTGGCGTCAATCGATTGTTCTGATCATTATCAGTGCGGCGTGAGTTATTATTATTATTATTACTATTATTATTATTATTATTAGTAGTAGTAGTAATAGTATTAATGGTTTTATCATTGTTGTCTGCGTTAATTTTGTTATAACTGTTGTTGTTACTATTGATAGTTGAGGAATTGTTATTGTTGTTATTACTATTTTTGTTGATATTAATATTATTATCATTATTGTTGTTGTTGTTGTTGGTGTTGTTATTGGTTCTTGTTTTATCTTAATTCGGGAATAAATTTTAATAAAAATTAATTCCAAAAATAATCCGCACAACTTATTTTTTCATATTTGAATTGAATCAACTTTGAAAATCATCTGATTTGGCAGAATCTTCTACGACAAAAAATTAATATTATCTCTGTTTTAGAAAAATAATTATAGAAAAATACTAATTTAATATAAAATACTTTTTAATCAAACGTTTAATCAGACACAGTAACCTAACAAACCATGCTGAATTATGCTGAAATTATTGCAAGCATCATTCAGACATCCCTTCTGTATGTTGTGTCGGCTTTTTTCTTTGTTGTTGTTGTTGATATTGTTGATGACATTGTTGGAAATTTTGTTGATGTTATTGTTGCTAGTAATGTTGTTAAGAATAGTGGTGGGGCTGATGTGTGTGTTATTGTTGTTGATGTTAGCGTTATTGCTGTTGCACCTATAGAAGTTGTTGGTGTTGTTGTTGTTTGAAAAGTTATTCTTGTTTTTGTTGTTGGATAGTTTCTCTTCTAGACAGCAGTGAAAATTTTGATTTGAAATTTTGGGAACTAAGGCCATGACAGACATGTCGGCAACACGGTAATAAGATAAAGTCGGCAGATAATTAAAATTGTTGTTGTTGATGTTGTATATGCTGTTGTAACTTGTGTTGTTGGCGTGTTGCAAGTTGTTGAAACTTTTAGATGTTGCATTATCTGACAGTCTAATTCTCACCTTCGAACTCGTATGCCACTCTGACTCAACGAAAAATAAAGAAAAAATGAGAAAATTTTTTTAAAAAAGTTAGCATAATTTTTCTAAAAATTGAACCACGCAAAAAGGGGCATTACCTAGATCCAAGCAATCCTTCCTAGGTCTGTTTGAATAGGGCAGGTTGCAGTAGAGGGCATCCAGAATTTTTTCCTTCACCTGATCGACGGTGTCACAGTCAAGAACTCGAAGCAGACGTCGTTCCTTCAGTTGGATGTCTGGTCCAAGGACGACGAGTGTCTGGCGGTGGCAGTCGTAAAAAATCATCATTGGTTGTAATTATATGAGGGCATTAAAATCAACTCGAGTTACTTCAGTAATGATATCAATGTTTAGTAATGTAACGTTTTGTAACGTAAAATTTTCTAGCATTAACTACATCTAATTTAGTTATCCAATTAACTACACCCAAAAAAGAAAACAAAAAATTATTAAAAAGCCAGAGATGGTTTCAACCAATGTTTTAAACTCTATTCTTCTGTTGATCAGCCAATCAGCGTTCAAACTGTAGAGGGACTGACCAGTGACGTCATCAACAGGACCCCTTTTGATCTGGTACTTGATGGCCAAGAACAACTTGTAGAAGGAAGAGCCCACTGTGTGCTGCTGACGAGTATCGGTATAAGTTTGTATATGGTAGCTACACTCATTCTTGTGAGTTATAAAGTGTTTCGTGAAGTAGAAGCACTTGGAAAATTAAGAACAACAAGCTTCTGAAATCGTACTGAAAAATTTTCAATCTTTTAAAAATTAAATTAATCAGCCGAAAGAAAGGTAAAACGCGGTTGTTTCATCTAGTGAATTATTCATTATTATCTGATTCACACAATTAAAATTATCAGCTCAACATAAAGAACTCAAAACTGTTAAGCTAAAGTTGCACTAACAGTTTTAAAAGAATCTCATCAAAAACAAAAAATTAGCAGGACAAACACAGAACCACAGAATGAAGCAAACAAACAGAACAGATCAAAAGCAAACAAACAAACAAACAGTAAAGAACCTTGATAGGCGCATATAGAAGCATGGCGAACCAGTTAGTGAGCAGCATGTTGGCAACCCCACCCGTCCCCATCATCACCATCTTTGACTGCCCTCTCTCGTTTAGATACTTTTCCACGTGTTCAGTTAACAGGGACTTTATAACGCTGAAATGGTTATTGGCAGTAAAGAACATTTACTATGGCGTTATGATTATTACTGCTTGCACTTGCAAATAGTTGCGCGTTGTGTGATGCTTTTGTCAGTGGTTGTTTGTTTTCTAGTAGAAAGTAATTGCGGTCTGTCTGAATAGTATTAGAAGTAATATTGAGGAAAGTACTTGAAAAAATGTTGTAACATAAACAATGCAGTTGTGTGTGTGTTTGTATGTGTATGTGTGTGTGTGTGTGTGTGTGTGTGTGTGTGTGTGTGTGTGTGTGTGTGTGTTTAATTTTACTTTTATACTTTGAGGATGTTGAAACTAAACTATAAAAAAATGAAAATGTTCTCTTAATTAAAACGTTTCACAGGCTCATATGGTTAAAAAAAAATTTTATTAGGCCGCTCTTAAAAATACTGAACATTGCAATATTATTTAAATATGTCTGGTGTTATGAGTTCGCAAGGTTTCAACAATATTGGCAACATCTCGCAACAAATTTACAGAGCACTACAACAACAGTTTCGGCAACATCTCAACAGCATTTATGAATTATGACAACATTTTGATTTCTGCTTGAAAAATTCAACAAACTTTTTATTGTATTTTTTCAACATTTAGACAGTACTTGTAACGAAAGAAAAATATTAACTAATTTTTTAACAAAAAAAAAACTTGCAACTTATTTAACAACGTAGCAACTACCACAACAACATCTGCAACAACTTTGCAACAGTATACGCGACATGGCAACAACATTGCAACATGTACCAACTCACTCGAGGTGATATTCAACGTGCTTGAAAAGCAACATAGACAATAACGCGGCTACTCGAGACTTCCGTTGCGTGCTGTACGATTGTTTCTCTTCAATTACCGACACAAAACTCAACAGGAATATCTTGTTGAGAAAGAGTTTCTGCAACTGCAACATGGCACATTTTTTGTTGCTCGGAATGGAAGAGGATGATGAAGATGAAGAGGAAGGGTAGTACTTTAAAAAAAATATTTTCATTTTATTACTGATGTATTATCGTCAGAGTTTTCGTTTTTATGTTTTTTGATTCTACAAAATTTCTATCGCGGCATTTCAATTTTATGATGTACAGGGCGCTTAAACGGCAGTAAAAACTCTACTCCAGATGTTGCAACTTATTCTTATTATTATTTCAATCATTATGGAAGTTAGTAGGAAAGATAGTTTTCCAAAACCAAAGAAAAATTAATTTTATCAGGCTGTCAACAACAATGACAATGCTAACAACAAAAATAGCATTAACGTTACAATACGGCGCTTTTAAAAATATCGATTTTTTGAAACACGCACGCAAATACTAACGCTACTATTGTGCGATTGCAACTTGTTGTAGATGTGGTTGTTGGTGTAGTTGGCGTCGATGCTGGCGTTTTTGCTGCTGCTGTGAATGAAATATTTTTTTCTTTTGTGCTTTTGAAATTTGAAATGATTTTTGCTGAGAGAGTCGTTGTTTTTACTGTTGTTGTTGTTGTCGGCATTAATGACGTCATCGTTATTGTTGTTGTAGCGCGCAATATAATCGGCATTTGACAGACGATTGTTCTTAAGGCGGTTCATATTATTGCGGTCGTTACTGCTTTTATTGCTGATGTGATTAAAATGTTTGCTGTTTTGGTCGTTGTTGTTGTTGCTAGTCGCATTGCAGCTATTGTTGTTGTTGTTGTTGCTGTTGTTGTTGTTGTTGCTATAATGATTAATGTTATATTTGTTGATGTTGTTGTTGGCTTTGTAGACGACGGTCCTGTTCAGCTCAGGTGTTCCAGAACCAATTCCGAAAAAATCATCACCAGCACCATCAACGCCAGCATCATCATCATCATCATCATCATAACCACCATCGCCATCATCATCATCATCATCATCGCCGCCGGTACGGTGTGACGTCACTTCCTGTCCGGGGAAGAGGAATGAGTGGGCGTACACCTTGAAGCTGTGGTACGGCAGGCCGGCTGATGACGTCATGAAAGACTCTAAATCGTCCATATGAGACTCTATCTCGAGGGTGGCTGCGTTTTTTATTTATTCGAGAACCAATAATAATAACAACAAAGATAACAAAAAAAAAACACTAAAACAAAGATAACAAAAAAGAGCGCTAGAAATAAGGATATAAAAATATTATTGATAGTAGCAATAATTGAAATCACGACTTATCAATTTATTATCGTCTTTTTACAATAATAATAATAATAATAAAATTAATAATAATAATATTTTATATTATTATTATTGCCACCTGAAATTTGTCATGTGGAAAGTAATTATAGTGATTTATCCATTGTCGCATGCGGTTGAAATGATGTGAACATCCAAGAAAAATAAATAAATAAAATTATATTATGAATAATTATAGCAAAACAAATAAATATAATTGTATTATAAATAAAAATAACTATAATTATTAATTAGTATCTATGTTATTGGTGTGAACAACAACGTCATCGTCATCGTCGTCGTCATCATCATCCACGTAAGTATGACGTTATCCTAATCGTGATTCCATCCCAGTTACCACCAATACAGTCATCATTATCAGCATCACAATTTTCATCATTATCATCATTGTCGTTGTTGTCTCTCTCATCATCACAGCCATCGTCATCATCTTCTTCCTCTTATTCATCATCATCATCATCATCACAATCACCGTTACCGATTTTGCATTGATCGGCCACCCTGGCTTCCATCTCGACAATCTGGCACGTGATCTTCTTGATGACGTCATCATCCATCGTGCACTCCTTCTTTCGTTTTCTTTTCCGTCTTACCACGACGACTGCCACGAGAGCCACCAGCGTCGTCATCGTCATCATCACTCCTGACGTCACACCGATGACGATTGGCAGCAGTCGCGATGATGGTGATGATGATAATGTCGATGATGATAATGATGCCGATTGAGACGCTTGCAGCATTGACGATGACGACGAAGAATTAGAATGTATGGAACGCCAAACGTACTCAATGCCGTTCATTATTTGAATCTGTGGTATTAAATATTTCATCAGTCATAAATTTCTTCGGAGGTTTTATTAAAATATTTTTTCTTTATTTTTGTTTTGTCCTTCAACTTTTTTTAAAAAAGAAAAAATTGAAAATTATTTTTTGGAGTTCTTGAAAATTAGCTAAAACTTCAAGCAATAGCTACATAATCGTAGGCAAGTTCAGAAATAAACTCAAAATTTCACAGAGAAGAGGACAACATCAGACGAACCACCCAAGTAAAAAAACAACCACATCGCAGATCAAACAATTCAACATCACGTTACAACACCAACTACAGTTATGGAACACCAAACTTTAATGACAATAACAAGTGAGGTAAACATAACTACACAGCACAGCACTTCAATGCAATTCAAGAACGTACAACAATAGTACACAACACAAACACACTTAACAACGACAACGACAACAACAACACGTTCAAGCAAAACCTCACAAAATTCAATTATAAAAGAGAATTATAAATGGCATACATAACGATGTACAACAGCAAAAATGTTGAACAACAATAAAATAACAGAAATGACCCAAACTGCGCCAAGTAGAACAAGAAAAAAACCCACACCACAACATTATAAAAGCAAACGCTGGACAAGGTAAATGATAACAAAAAAAATTGTTTGAATAGCACGAAGTAATCATTCGTTCATCAATCCATTCATTCATCTTTGCATTTTTTCATCCATTTGTTCGTTCGTACGTCTATCTATCTATTCGTTTTTCCATCTATTAAACCAGTCATCCATTCATTCATCCATCCACCCACCCATTCATTCATTCATTCATTCATTCATTCATTCATTCATTCATTCATTCATTCATTCATTCATTCATTCATTCATTCATTCATTCATTCATTCATTCATTCATTCATTCATTCATTCATTCATTCATTCATTCATTCATTCATTCATTCATTCATTCATTCATTCATTCATTCATTCATTCATTCATTCATTCATTCATTCATTCATTCATTCATTTATCAATCCATCAGTCCATCCATCCATCCATCAGTTCATCCATCCGTTCGCCCATTTATTCATCCTTCCATCTATCCAGCCAGCCAGGCAGGCTAGCCAATAAGTTCCCTCATTTAAATATCAGCCATCTCTACGTCGGTCGGTACTCGGTACTTACAAATAAATTTATGCAACGAATGAGTAAAAGTGAATTAGATGCAATTTTAATGTGATCCTATCGTGTTAGTTGGTTTGCCTGTTGCGTGTTTTGGTCTATCGTTGCATGCTTCTGTCTATCGTCGCTTACTTTGGTCTATCTTTGCATGTTTTGGTCTATCGTTGAATGTTTATGTGTAAAGTTTTTGTATGGTATATAAGTTGTTGCATAATGTTGTTGTGTGTTGTATGGCGTTTGTTGTTGTATACTGTTGTGTGTTGTTGTATAATGAGGTATGTTGTTGTGTGTTGTTGTATGTTGAGGTAGGTTGTTGTGCGTTGTTATATATTGAAATATGTTGTTGCGTGTTGTTGTACATTGTTGTATGTTGATGTATATTGAGATACGTTGTTGTTGGTTATTGTATATTGATGTGTTGTATATTGAGTTATGTTTGTTGTGGGTGTTTGTTGTTGTTGTTGACCAGGCCGACAACCGACCATCAAGTTCCTGACTAGACTGACCGCTGCGAATCACCTATAAAATTTCACTCATATACTTTTATGTGGAATGTAAATAATTGCTGAGATGAATTTTGCTCCAACTTGAAACACTTAATTCAACATTATTTAACAGGAACACATTGTGAAATTTAAAAAAGGTAAAAGTTTTAAAATAAAAAAAATCGTTTTAACATAATCTCTTCATTCAAATTCTCCGCTCATCGTCAAATTTAATTAATCCATCCTTCGAATTATCGAACACGAAAGTACGTAAGTTCATTTTAAATTATTTTAAAATAAAATAACATTAATAATACACAGTAAATATACGTGCATGTGTATGAGTATGTGCCTGCGCGCGTGTGTGTGTGTGTGATAAGATGTGTATGACTGTATGCACGTGTGTGTGTGTGTGTGTTTGTGTGAGTGTGATAATGAAAGCGTGTAATTGTATGCGTATGTCTGTGTCTGTTGGTCTGTGTATTAAAGAGTACGTTTTTATTGCATGCGCCTACGTGTGTGTGTGTTTGTGTGTGTATGTATGTGTGTGTATGTGTGTGTGTGTGTGTATGTGTGTGTGTTTGTGTGTGTGTGTGCGCGCGCCAGCGTAGAAGTGGAATGATTAATACTGCAGGTTGGGGTAGAACTCATGCCGGCTTCCCTCCTTCCAACTTAATGAATAAATAAATAAAGAGATAAGAAAATAAAAAAATAAATTAATTTAATTTTTAATGAATAACATCAATTTCTTTCATTGTTTGTTCTTTTTTATAATTGTTTTCTTACTTTTAAAACATCCTTTTTTCGGCGTTGTTAGTTGTTGCGCCTCTTGTTAGCATACACATCTCCACAAACACACACACACAACACACACACACACATATCTCCACACACACATCTCTACACACATATCTCTACACACACACATACACACTCAAACATATCTTAAAATATGCAAACACACGTGCCTATGAATTTCTAAACGTTCACCTAAATCAAGTTTTTTTTTTCAAATTTTATTTCCATTTTATGCCAGACTCGCTTGGATAACTTTCCATTACGGAAAACTTGAGTGAGTGACGCTGGTCACGAAAACAACCATATGATTTTAATAACGTATGGTATCGTATCGTTTAGATTAGTACCGTATGGTATCGTATCGTTTAGATTAGTACAGTATGGTATCGTATCCTATTACACCGTCCCATGTCACGTCACATCACATCAGATAAAATCACAATGAAATAAAATTAAACCAAATAGTATCGAATCATGTATCGTCTTATGACTTGTATCATGTATATCACATATAATCATATTTTAATTTATTGTATTGTATCGTACCGTATCACGTCATTATAAAGTCGTATCATGTCGTTTGATGTCCCATCTCCACTCATCGCAGCATACAACAACATAAAAAGCACACATTACAGTGCATACAACCTACAAAAAGCACAAGCACAACACACAATGTACACAGGCATTTAAAGTGCACATAAAATGCTCACAACAACATTCAAAGTACACACAAAAAACATACAAAGTACATGTACAAAAATATACAGAGAACATATACAACGATTGCCAACATCATACATACAAAGCACGCATACAACGCATACAAAAACATACAAAGTACACGCACAAAAGTATACAAAATATACACACAGAAACATACAAAGTACATATACAAAATATACAACATGAGTATAAAGTACACACACAGTACAACATACCGCAGAAGGGGCTAAAGAACTTACTCGAATCGTTGAGATGGAAAGGGGCTGTCGATAAGAATACTGATTGTGATGATGATGCGAACCGTTATTATCATTATCATTATTATTATTATTATTATTATTATTATTGTTATTATTGTTATTGTGTTTGATATGAGAATGATGATAACGATGACGAGGAAGTAGTTTTGTGCTGTTAATCGAGTCAGATTGTTGCCGATGACGTTGATGATGATGATTGGGTGAGCAAATTAATGAAGACGACGACAAGGATATGACGTCACATTCGTCATCATCTATCGTCACTTTGTAGTCATCAGGCGTGAGTACGTCATTCAAATGCTCGCCCTGTTGTCATGATGACGTCATCATTAATACGATGTAATAATATAAATATAAATGCACTCAAATATATGAATACACTACATGGATACCCTTTACCTATTCAATCTCAAATGAAGTTGTTTTTAGTGAGATATATGTTTACTTCAAGGGGTGAAATTTTTTTTAAATGTTTGAATTTTTCTATAATCGCGCGCAAAATTAAAAACACTATAAATTACCAGACGAGTAACAGTTATAGTACAAGTGGTTTCAAGCCTTGAATGCCGTCAAAAAAGTGGTTGCTATCTCAAGTTGTCTTCATGCTCAAAACTGGTTTGGTTTGACTATAAGAAGTTTTTATTTTTGTTTTTCTAGTTCAATTTTCGCAATTTTTTTTATTGTTTTTTTTTAATTTTTACCGATTATTTTTTTGATAATTTGGTTTAAATTTATTTAGAGATAAAAATGTTCGATAATTTTTATAAGATGCATTTGTTTGATGCACGTAGGCAGGTAGGTAGGTAGGCAGGCACTTTGAAGACAAAAACTTCTCATGATAACTTCAGAGAAGTTTTTTTGGATTTTTGTTTATTAAATTATTTTTATCAGAGTTTCAAAGAATTGTGCGTTATAATTGTTTTTAAAATGATTGAAATTGAAATTTGAATAAATTAAACATAATTAATTTTTTTTGTTGGAAATGATTGTAAAGTTGAGCTGTCATAGGATAAAAACCACATGAATTATGCAACATTCAACTTGAAACAACAAAAACCCGCTACAAAGATCACATGGGAATACATAGAATAATAAATAATGGAAAGCCACTTTTTTCTTGAAATATTCTTGCCCAGATAAGAATGGAAAGCTATCTTAAACAAAGAATAAAATGTGCACACGTAGCAGTGAAGTGCCTCTCTTTCTCCCTCTTTCTGTCTACCTGTCAGTCTCATTGTCTGTTTGCATTGCTTAGACGATGCTGCAATTTGTTGAACGTCTAATTTTTCAATGTTGTTGTCAATTTGTTGTTGTTTTTGGATGGTTGGTAGTGTTGTTAGTTTAGTTTTTAGTCGTTTGTTGCTAGTTTCATGTTGCTACACATCGATAACATTGTTTTGTTGTTGGCTGCATGTTTGCCTCTAGAGCATCAGATCGACAAATTGTTGCGATGTTGCACACTTGGGATTTCCCAACATATTTATTTATTTGCACTGCACTAAAATGACAAGTGGGAATTTTCCGTATGGCTTTTTCATTTCTAGAAACTGAAACTGCTAGAACAAAATTTGTTAGAACGAATAAAAGAGCTGGAAGTAGAAGAAAAAAGAGAGGAGGAAAAAGAAAGAAAAGATAAAGAAACATCCAGGTATCCAGGAGAACATCTGCAATCAAATTGACGCCACTCCATCATTCATGCATCAAATTTTTACATCTCACATGCAAGTAACTTCAAGCAAATGTCTAATAACATTTTTTTTTATTTTCTCAAATTCTTCGCAGCTTTTATGCAATTGTTGGAGATTTTAAATTAACTGTCGACGTCCAATAAAAAATTCTGAAAAAATTATTTTCAAAAACAACAAAACAAAACAACCCACCAGTTCGGGCATGAAAAAATAATTAAAAAATTGATAGAAATAAATCAATCAACCATCATTCAACCATAAATCAATTAACCAGCGACCGGAAAAAAAACAAAATGGCGTAAAAAACAAAATGGCGGAGCAAAATAAATAAAAAAAACATTTAAAATAGATGGTGGTGTCGACTCGATGATTTGTCAACATGCAGAGCAGACGAGGAAGAGTTGAAGTTTGTTCTCCTTATCTGACCAGCACATAAACCAAAGTTGTTTACCACTTTTCACACACATGTGCGTCTATTATTTATGTGTTTGTATGGTATACACACGCACACGCGCACACACACATACAAAACAAACACACGCACATATGTGTTTCACGCTGTACAACCTAGTTACTATTTGAAGATAATATCACATATGAGGTGTACAAAAAAGTATTGCTTTGTATGTACGTAAGAGCATTGTGAAGATGTTTGAAGAGGAATAAGTTCATTTGTCAAGTATGTGTGTTGTACTGTTTAATATATAATCTATTAACTACTGCTACATCTATGATTACACAGTACAAAATCGGCCTTTAAGCATATTTCAAATGCATGAAAGTTAACAAAACCAACAAACAACTCAAAATAACACAAATAAAACTATTAAAAAATTAAAAAACTAACGTTTATAGCGACATCTCCAGCTTCATTTACGTTGTAAAATAATTCACGATTGTCATCCGTATTGAAAGTTGGATCGCAATGATAAGATATGACGAAATCGTCCTTTTTAACGGAGAGCTGACCGTTAATGAGAATGTGGAATGGTAGCATCAATGGAGGGTGGTCGTTTTCGCAGCAGTTTGATGTGAGGATGTTATCGTTTGTGTTGATGCGACTGTTGTTGTTGTTTGTGTTGTAGGAGTTGTTTATAATGTTGATGTTGTTTTTGTTGCTGTTGTTGTTGTTGCTGTCGTAGATTTTAATTTTATGGCTAAGATGCTGCTTTTCATATTGTCTACTTTTGAAATTGTTGTTGTCCATTTTCTTAATTTTTGAAATTTTTTCTGATTTTTTGATAACTTTCATCTCACTTTTTTCAAACGACTCTCTTTCCAACTTGCCAGCATCATCATCGTCTTCATCATGCCTATCGACACTAACATCATTATAAACCAAATGATGATGTTGATTGTGATGACGACTATGAAGAGGATTCGACATGGAATTGAAATTCGCGAAATGCTTCAAGTCAGGTGTGCGACATACAAGCGAGTACATTAATTTGTCGTCCTCTTCATCACCATCATCTTCATCCTCATCATCTTTATCCTCATCATCTTCATCTTCTTCTTTATTGTCTTCGTTATTTACATTAAAATGATTATTGTCATTATTGCCATATTCAATTTCGTTATACTCTTTACCTCTAGCTTCTTCGGAGTATAAACTGTCCTCACCTTTCTCAGTCTGATCACCAACACCAACATCATCATCTTCTTCTTCTTCCTCATCCTCATTGTCTTCACTATCATCATTATTTCCAAGTTTATTAACACCCCCATCGTCATCATCTTCATGGCTACCACTGGCACTTTCATTGTAGTCGTCGTCATCGTCGTCAGCAACAAGCAGGCACTCCTAAGAATTAATTTCATTTTATTTTAATTTTTATTTATTATTATTAATATTATAAATATTATTAATATCATTATTATTATTATTATCATTACAGCAAATAATTAATGAAAATAATAGCAATCCTTCGTTATGGTTAAAGAGTTAATAATGTGAAGATCACTGACCCCAGGGACCTCTACTTTATGGTAGTGTACCAGGAGCACGGAAGATTGCATGGCACGTAACCTCTGACCTTTGAACTTTATCGTCTGACCTCCGCTTTTATATTTTCGGTTGTAGGTAGGTAGTTAGAGGTTAGTTGAAAAGGATTGTTAGTTAATGGCGTTTTTAATGGAATATTGAAAATGTATTTTTGTCTGAAATGAATAAAAAATACTTAAAAAAGGACTGTATCTTTATTGTAATTTTTTTAAAGATATCAATAAAAGTCATAGAATAAAAAAAATGGTTTTGGATTTTAGGTATATATTAATAGTAGAGCTAAACGTATGCTAGGGTTTAAGCTATAAACTGGAGCCGTGAACAAATAGACAAATAACTTATATCGCTTACAAACAAAAAGATACAATAATTAAAATAAAAATACATCCACCCGGTTTTATCAAACAGTTCCATTTTAAATCGCATACAAGCGTGTCTGACTAAATGAATAACAAAATATGAACACACACTCACTCACACATTTAAACGGACATACATAGACACACACACACACACACACACGAACAAACACACACACACACACACAGGTAATTTATCATGTTAACCTCCAGATACTCTTTCTTCCAGCAACCCAGGAAAGATTCGGATCATCATATATCCTCATCTTCATCACCATCTTCTTTGACGTCATCTTCATTCCTTCACTCACTCTTATTCCGTCTATCATTACACTCATTTTGTATGTCGCTAGGTATGGCTCCTCACCATCACCACCACCACCATCATCATCTTGCTCATCCTCATAATTGTTGTTATAATGATTATTATTATTATTATTAACATAAATAATATCTTTGGTGACGTAGGTGCTTACGTCATTAACTTTCTCATTATTGTCGTTATTATTAGGGTTGAACTGTTTTGTGACGTCATCCTTATCAGTACCACTGCTGCCCCCTATCATATCCGGTCCTGCAAACGTGTTTAATTAAGTATCTTGATATATTGTAATATATCTTTATAATTCAATTATATATTTTACCTAAGTATGTGTGCGTGTAGTTTGTTTGTGTGCGCGTGTGTGTGCGCGTGTATGAATGCGTATATGTGCGTGTGTATGTTCAAGCGCATATGTGTGTGTGTGTGTATAAGCTGTAGTTTATGTGTATTTATTGATACAAACATATGAGATCCTTAAAATACAAATCAAAGATTCAAAAATACCAAACAATGATATTAAAAAAAAACAAAAACAAAGACATAAAAAAACAAGACAGACATACCAGACAAGGTAATAAATAAACACCAGCCCATACAAAAATAAGGAGAACAAAATGACGTATCAGCGTAGAGCACGGAGTGCGATGGGTAAACAAACGAAGTATGTATACAAAAAAAAAACAAACCCTCGTGACAGAAAATGATGCATATCACGTGATCCCGCTGACGTGTTTTTATTGGACAATAACACTTCAAATTTGTGACGTCATCGTCGTAATAATCGACATTGTCACTATCATCGATATAATCTTTTGTATCCATTAAATTCTCTCCATCATCGTCTTCGTCATCATTCTCATTAACGGTGTTTGTTTTCTTTTGAAATAAACTTTTTGTCTTATTTATTATCTTTGTTTTTACCATGGTGACAACTGCTTCCGCCCCTGAATCAAGATAGCTGCCGACAAATGTGACCAGGCTGCCTCCTGATTTGTAGGATGAACTGGGGTGCATGTCCGTGATGGTGGGGGACTGAAGGGCGGTGATGATGATGACGATGGTTGTGATGACGATGGCTGTGACGATGATGGTGATGCTGATGTCGATAGTGCGATGATGTTAGAATGATGAGACAATGGTCGCAAGATTATGGTGAATATTTAATGGTGATGGCGATGAGCATAATGAAGAAGATGATTACGGAACGAGATGACGACAAAACGATCGGATGGTGTTGATGATGAAGATGACGAGACAAGATGACGAAACGAAACGAAATGATGACGAGGAAGATAAGGATAACAAAAATACTGAATAACACTGTTGGTGGAGATTGATATGCTAATAAAGTGAGCAGTCTCATTATTTCACTAGCGGCCATGCGCTCAATCACTTACCGCTAATTGGTCATTTCATTTTCAAGTCACGTGATATATTAATTTCGATTAATTTACTATTTTTATATTTCGCATTTAGTTATTTTTGAATGTTTTACTATTCATTATTTTATTATTAATTATTATTACATCTCCATCCACACCATCATCATCATTCTCCTCATCATCATCATCATCGATTTCATCATCATCATCATCATCATCATTTTTAATAAAATCATCATCATCATCACCCTCATCATCACTAACCACAAAAGCAACTGATCCGCCATGATAGACGACTTCGCTGCCATCAGCAAACATCACCTTTACTTCATTTTTTGATTCCGTCACTTCATCATCTTCTTCCTTATCTTCATCACCTTCCTCCTCCTTCTTCTCATCATCATCATCATCATCTTCATCTTCGTCCTCACCATCATTATCATCAACATCTCCACTTCTACTACTACTACTACTACTATAACCACTTTGAATGATGCTAAGCGTGCTCATACCAACAAATGTTTTTTGATTAACATTACCAAAAATACTATATTTATTGCTATTTAGACTACTACTACTATTGCTGCTGCTGCTGCTACTACTACTACTACTACTACTACTACTACTACTACTACTACTGCTACTACTGTTACTACTCTTGTTGTCATTATGATTACCAACAAGCAATGCCGACGATGATGATGATGGTGATGACGTCGGCGATGATGATAATGATGATGATGGTGGTTGTGGTGGTGATGTTGAGCAGATGTTTGATTGATGGCACACAGGTTCGTCCAGAAATTTGCACACAATTCTGTGAGTTGATGTTGAATGGTGGTGTGGTGTGGTTGGCTGGTTGGTGTTTGGTGGTTCTAAAGTTGCGGATTTTATGTATCGGTCTATTTTTATCCAATCATTCATTCATTTACTCATTCATTATTTTATTCATTCATTCATGCATTCATGCATTCATTCATTCTATCGTTCGTTCGTTCGTCCGTCCGTCCGTCCGTCTATTCGTTCGTTCGTTCGTTCGCTCGCTCGCTCGTTCATTCATTCATTCATTAATTCATTCATTCACTCACTCACTCACTCACTCACTCACTCACTCACTCACTCACTCACTCACTCACTCACTCACTCACTCACTCACTCACTCACTCACTCACTCACTCATTCATTCATTCATTCATTCAATTAATCAGTTTATGAAAGTAGACGCACAAAATGGACAAACAATCGTTTGTCCTGAAGCACTAAAGAGTCTTTTAAAGAAAATTGTTAAACGACAATATATTATGTTTGTTATGCACACAACAAACACTCACACCCACACACACTCACACACACACACACAAACACGCACACACACATATATATATATATATACATTTTTTTTCTTGGAAGCAGTATTGTATGAATTCTACCGAATTGTTGGCATTAATCAATTTAAAGTCTGTCTTGACTTTTCCTTACTATAATTTTCTGGATATTGTTCAATTTATTGAAAATAGAATTATTATCCAAGTTCATCATGAAAATTTAATAAAACTGCTGTTGTCCATGTTCATCATTCATCATACTAGAAAATTCTAGTATGGAAAATTGAAAAGACAGACTTTAAATTGATTAATACCAACAATTCGGTAGAATTCAGACAACACTATACACACATACACACACACACACCACACACACACACACATACACACCACATACACACACATACACACACAGACACACACACATATACATATTTATATATATAACACACATTTATATATATATATATACATATATAATTTATATATATATATATGCATATATATATAAACAAAAGCTTGATTTGTTGATTTGAATAAATTGAACAAAAATAAATATTGAAGGAAAAATTGTTCCGCGCTACAATATATAAATGCATGACCGAGAAACCTCTGGCAAGTGATTGTTTACTTTAATGGAAGGTTACAGATTTTATTTTCCCACGTCACATCCGTTTTTAAATAACATGTTATCATCAAGGTCAGTGACATCATAGTCATCACCCTCCTACTCCTCCCTCTTCTCATCATCCCTACCATCACCACCACCATCGTCGTCGTCGTCGTCATCATTTCGTTGGTACATGAAAACAGGTTGTACAAGAACTGCGAAAACGTGCATAAACATCGCTGATACTTTTGGAAGCCTGAATATTCTTGGGGAGCGCTTCACTTCTAGATTTGTTTTCGCCTAAATCCAATTGTTGTTGTGGATGTTAAGTGGAAAATATTCCATTTGAGTGCAACCGAACTTGGCGGTTCTTTTTCAGTTTTAATTTAATTTTATTGCGTTTTTACGACATGTTTTTAGACACTTGAAATTTGTTAATTTTTGAGGGAGTTCATCTCGTTTTTCCGAAGCTAATTTGATAACTCTGACGTCTGGCGTCATTTCAGATGAAAGTTTCTCGGCATCTCGCTGCAGTTGCGTTGTTGATGGAAGGCATTCATTAAATTATAACAATAACTACCGCCATAACTTAATATCTTGAAAATTAATTTCAATTTTGGCTTCACCAATGGCATTGACCATCACCTAATTGCCTCATCAATCAATTTGAAAAAAAGAATAAAGTGGGAGAAGAAGAAGAAGGGAGAGAGAAAAGAGAGAGAAGAAAGATAGAAAAAAAGAAAGAGAGACAAAAAGTGCATGAATGAAAGAAAGGAGAGAGAAAGAGAAAAAAGGGGTGGAAGAAGTGGTGAACCTTACATGAGTGTGGTGAAATAATGAAGATGCATTTGAGTCGTGCTGACAGTTGAAGATCAATCATCCATCTAATCCAATAATGAATCATACGTCATGGTCCTTCAAACTCCACGCCATTCAGGCCATTTTGTGTTGTTTCATTAATAAACGGACTAATCAATTTGCCGATCAATCAATCATTTACTCATTTTTTTATTCAA